AAAAGCTTAATTCTGAGTAGCATCTTCCTTTTCCTAGTACACAGTGTAACGTTATAATTTTTACTTAATTTAGGAGCTTCTGTCCCCCCACAATTTTTGCGATATCTCGTGACTACCTAGTATTATACTACTCATCGACTGTTCGGTATATTTCCAAGTCTAATAACTTCATAGCAGTTTACAATGTGCCATTTATTAGTTTTTTCATCATGTCGTACGACACATTACCCACCTTTATCAGGGTTTATCTTGCCCGCTCACAAACCTCTTCTCTTAGCAGCTTCCCTGCACCATCTTGCCGGCTCATACACTCGTCACCATGTCCGGGTTCATTCACAGCAGGCACCAGGTTCAGGGGTTGGGCCGGGCTGGTCAGGCGGTGTGGTGTTGGTTGATGGGGGGGTTTGTTGTTGGGCGATGGTGTGTGGGCTTGGGCCAGGTGGTGGCGAGGTCAGGTTCACCTTTCACCTCTCACATCCAGCCACTTGAGCCTTTCTAGCCAGATTGATTTCCCTCTGACTTCTATATTGGAGAGTATCAGCTTAGAAGCTTATAGTATTAGGGGGACGCCCCATCACGGGATTTCTAGGACTTGTTTAAGCGTATAAAATACATTTACTATATGGGCTATAGCAGCGTTATTTCAGCAATTTCTTGTTTAATGATTCATACATCTACTAGTAATAAGATGTGTGATTGCGTGTGTTTTTATCATTTTGTTTTTTTGTCATTGTACAATAACTACTACGTCATTCTTTGCAATATTGGGAGAAACGGTACTAGACTCAATACTAGCTTTACTCGTCACGAACTTAGTGAAAATAACTTTAGAGCGGCGGCTAATTTCAGAATTTACAATGTCAGAAAATGACAGTGTAGGAGCCAGTCTTAGGGTAGGTTCTTTCAATTGCAATGGCCTCGGAAACCCCGAGAAACGTAGATCGGTTCTTGGTTGGCTACTAGCTAAACCAGAAGATATTATTATGGTACAAGAATCTCACTCTGTAGTTGAAACGGAAGACTTCTGGAGGACAATCTGGGGGGGAGATATTTATTTCAATCATGGTACCTCTAAGTCCACTGGGGTTACATTCCTGGTCAAACCCAATTCTAATATTAAAATTTGCAGTCACAGGATCATCACACAGGGACGTGTATCACTGTTAGAAATTGAGAAGGATTCCATCAAGTATTGCTTGGTAAACGTCTATTGTCCTAATAGCAATGATACTTATGTTGTAGAGAACTTGTTCCTGGAAACTCTAGGACGTACAAGGGATGATTATCGTATCTTGGCTGGGGACTGGAATACTATCTTAAATAATAATCTTGATAAATATGGTGGTAATAGTTCCCACAGTAATACTAAGCGTCAGCAATATTTGAACCAGGTGACCGCTGATCATGGCATCAGTGATATCTTCCGTCTTAGTAGGGGTAATGAGCGTGTTTATACTCACGTAAATAAACAGCACAAAACCCAAACACGCCTAGATTTCTTCCTTATAGATGATAGTCTGGTTAATTATCCGGTCTGTAACGCAGATATTAGTCATGGTTTTCGATCTGATCACAGCTACATTTCATTATCTCTACAGGGTTCCCCCATTAAACGTGGAATAGGATATTGGAAACTTAATAATAGCCATCTAAATAATGAGTCGTTTTTGAGTAATGTACGGGAGATTATCAATGAAACTGCTGACAGTAATTTTGATTCGTACTCGGGACTCTGGGACGTGATTAAAATGAAAATTAAAGATTTTGCGATCAGATTCGGAAAAAAAGAAAAGAAAGAAAAAGTTGCAAAAAAGAAAAAAATATCCTCTGATATTGAAGAGGTTAAAAAGATAACTGATTTTATGCAGAAAGATGATCTGCGCAAAAAATTGTATGACTTGGAATCCCAGCTTGATGGCATCATTAAAGCTGAGGTTAACGGGGCCATGACCAGGTCTAGGATTCAGTGGACAGAGGAGGGTGAAAGGTCCACCAAATATTTCTTCGGGCTGGAGAAAAGTAGAGCTAAAAAAAAGTCTATTACCAAACTTATTAACAGCGATCAGAGTGTACTACGCACACAGCAGGATATTTCTGAGCACGTAGTTAACTTTTATCAGGACATCTTTAGCTCTACGAATCCAAACGAGCATGAAATAACCGATTATATTAATTCCAGTAACCTAGATACTATTGATCAGGAGAACGCTGATAGGTTAGATAGGCCAATTTCCCTCCTGGAGATGGATAGTATTATCAGTAAATTTAAGAAAAATAAATCTCCAGGGTGGGACGGCCTCACTGCTGAATTCTACAAAGTATTCTGGGAGGACATTAAGAATATCCTATTTAACTCCTTTTCAGAGTCGGTTGATAATGGGGTTATGTCACCTTCACAACGTCTAGGAATTATAACACTTATCCCGAAACCTAAAACCCCCATTGAGTTAAACTATATAAAGAACTGGCGACCAATCACCCTTTTGAATGTAGACTATAAGATATTCACTCATATTATAAAAAATAGGATCTTAAGTTCACTTCCAACACTTATTAGTACAGCCCAATCCGGGTTTCAAAAAGGGAAGAGTACCAGCGATAATCTGATCTTAATGTATCTAACCTTAGAACATTACCATGAGAACCAAGAGGATACTGGTATGATTATGCAGGTCGACCTCCAACGGGCTTTCGACTCGGTCGAACATAAGTTTCTTTTCAGTGTCTTGGAAGGTATGGGGTTTGGAAATTATTTAATCAACTTGGTGAGAGTGGCATTTCACGCTGGTATGAGTTACGCTAACATTAACGGACACCTTAGCAGCCCTGTTCACATACTTCGTGGCGTCCATCAGGGGAGCCCCCTTTCCCCAATTCTTTTCCTCCTAGTGTCCCAGGTACTTAGTAATAAGCTACAGTATAACCCTTATATTAAAGGCCTCAGCATTAATGGTATCGACATACTCATGAGTCTGTTTGCTGATGACACGGATCTGTACCTGGATCCCTCCCAGGCTTGCGTAGATGCAGTTATCCTAGAGCTCAACCTGTTCGGTCAGCACTCAGGCTGTAAGCCCAACATCAGTAAAACTAAGTGCATACCTTTAGGAGCTACCAGAGACAACACTAGTCTTCGAAATTACCTTACCAGTACATACGGGGAAGACATGGTAGCTAACGAGTTTACAGCATTAGGAGTCAAGTTCGACAACACGTCTAGTGGAGCTGATCTCTGCAAAATGAACTACCACAGTAAACTTAGTAACGCCAGCACCGCTATCAACACCTGGAGTAAGAGAGACTTAACTCTGATAGGAAAGTGTACAATTATTAAATCTCTTATTCTTTCCCAGTTCACTTACCTTATCATACCACTAGAAACTCCTGATACTAACACCATCAGTAAAATAGACACTATGATATTTCACTTCTTGTGGGGTTGTAAGAGGGATAAGTTGAAACGTGATATTGTTACTTCTCCTCGTGAATGTGGGGGTCTAGGTCTCTTCTATACTAACGATTTTATTATAGGTTTAAAAGTGTCACTTATAGGAAAAGTTATCGATCCTAATTTCCAACATGCCTGGAAAAATATTATCATCAATCAGCTTTTACACCCAAATATACCAACTGTGTGTATAGAAAACTGTCTCACATTAAAGAATACTGGTTTTACCTTTAACCTTCTTCGCCATTATAAGCTTTGGAAGTCTATTTCTTCACAGTCAAGTAAGAGTACAGTCAACCACTGTGTGTGGGGAAGCGACGTAATAACGGACATTGGCTCCAAGCTCTGGAACGATATTCTTATTGATAGAAATATCATCTATCTTTCTGATTTTGTTTCAGAGGAAGGTAACCTCTTAAGTTTTCAGCAATTTCTGAGAAAGTGGGGCCAAACAAGTAGTATAATCTCTTCGACTCAATATGCGAGTATAAAATTGGGAATACGTCGATTTAATAATACCGATACGTTTACAAGTAACATTACATTTATCGATACCCAACTTTCACTTCGCTTTTGGGGAGGTAGGAATACCCCCAACTCTAGAGATACTCCTCTCACTATCAAAGGTAGAAACATTAGAGATACCATGTCTAAGCGTTTAGATCCCAGCACCCTTCCTCCAATGAGGAACTGGAGTGCTAACCTCTCCTTAACGGATATTGATTGGATTAGTATTTTTACGGATATTTTTACTTCTTTCTCAAATAACTTCAAACTTATTCAGTACCAATATAAGCTCCTTCACCGGATTAGTACTTGTCGGTACATGAGATATAAAATGAAGATTGAAAAAGATAGTCCAAATTGCTCGTTATGTAATCACAACCTCGAAACTATCTCTCACATATTTATTGACTGTCCAGCCACAAGCTCTTTCCTACAGGGAGTAAATCTGTTTATTAGATCGAATATTGACGCAAATTATGACGACCCATATCGCCACTATTTGATTTGCTTAAATCACAGAGATAAAAGTGTTAACTTCATAAATTCGGTTTGCTGTTGGTTTATTGGAAGGAGTTTCCAGAACAAGGAACCCCTATTCTGGGAGCGATATCTTAAACATCTTAAGCTTTTCTTATTAGGTGAAAAACCGGATATTATACGGTGCCTTAAAGACGTTATACCTTGATGACCATTTTATACCCAAAGTTCTGGATCCACTATACACTCTTGTTTATTTATTCTCTCGAAATTACAGCCGTGCCTTACCTTTACCCTTTATTTCACAAGTTGTAGCCAGTGGAGTTATCTCCACTACTAGTATTGATATAGAGTCATATTTAAAACCAGTAGTATCTCTCCTTTTTCTCTCCATCTTATGTGCATTTTATTACTCTATATCCACTGACTTTATTCGACGTATTATCTAAAAGAATAAAAAAATTGTGTGCGTGTGTTTTTATATTTATTTTGCTACGGCGCATGTGAAACCCCAGGGCATCCAGCACCGGAGAAGCTGAAATGACACTCTCTGAACCCTTGGTGCCGCTCAGATTTTGCCTCTTGGCTGGTAAGCCGAGTCTTGATCGATTAACTCAGCTTCTTCGGTACAACACAGACCGGAGGGTACTATTAGCCGCTTTGCCGGTGGTATCCTCCTGGTGTCCTGGGGTTTGGCAGGTTCCTCATTTAAAAAATAAAAAAAAAAAAAAAAAAAAAAAAAAAAAAAAAAAAAAAAAAAAAAAAACCCGGTCGTCCATTATTTATAAGCGACCTATGGATGTGAACATTATACTGGTGGGGACTGGGGAGGTGAACCATACTTTGTCCGGCACGTGACATATATAAACCAATCAGCTTGCAACATTGATCAGTCGAAACCCAGAATCGCTGTCACGTGTAAAATCAAATATGTTTCACCTCCCCCCCCCCCAGTATCCAGTGCAGACAGATAAGATCTATAAGAAACGTGATATAATAATACCTGCAGATCGTCCGGAGCCTCAGCAGAGACAGCAGCAGAAGATCCCGGCTGAGCAGGTTCTGCCACTGCCTTGTTGTTTGTAGAGAACATGTGAGCTTTTGTTGATATCTTCTCCTCTATCACGGCACTGTCTCCTGAACTTTCTCTGGGGGTGGTTATCGTTAAGGTGTCAAGTGAGGGGATTTCATTGTTTTTATTGGTTTGTATGAACTTTTATTTTATTTTAATCAATATTTGATTAAATAATTATAATTTTAAAACGTTTTAATAACTTTATCAACCTGGCACCAGCAAGAACAGGATCTTTTAATAAACACTGCAGGACATCCAGATGAGCTGTTTCAAGGAAATACTTGTTGTGCTTGAGAACCAGCTTAACTTTACCGTAACTACTGGTACACATCCTCACAAAGTCCTCAACACCCGCCGGCATGGACGTCTTACTCAACTGTTGTAGAGCAGGTGGTTTATAATATTCTAATTACTTTTCTAGTACTACTTAACTTCATATTTTCCCATTACGAAATTAACTCCAAATTTAACGAAATGGAAAATGATTCTTAATGACAATGACAATTCTTTTACCTTACACTTCGGTTATAACCCGTACCTGGGAGAGATATTTGACGATGTCCTCGGTCTGAAGACCGACACTGACGGCTGCGTACAGAGTATGGGGTCAACCTGTACTCGTGTATGTTGACAGGTCGACAGACAGGCTCAGCTATCGCTATCAAGAAATCGTGAGCTTGCCTGAAGGAGTAAAATGTTTGACAAGTTGGTGAAGGAAAGCTAAATTGATAGTCACTAATTATGATGTAGAAAAAGTCACAATGATCGTTAAAACGTAGACCTAACCAACATACATTACTTCGAAAGCTTGTCTAAATTGAAATAAAAAGCTCTAAAACCAACTTGTAAATGGGAGAGAAGGATTCCAGGAATATTTGGCCGTCTGATGTGAGAAACAAGGGTCGTGTCTTATGGTCTGGCTTCATTTTAACCTCCTTCCTGTAATCAAATGCCCCATATTCGTCACCATAGGTGCAGATTTCGTTTTGAGGTGAACTTTTAAGTTCCCGAGAAATTTTCTTAAGTTTGCTTTTTTTTCCTCCTCGGGCACATTCGTAACCTACGGGCCAGGTAAACCTAAACTACATATTGACCGTTATGTACGTCGGTATCTGTTGAGGAGCCAAATCATCTGAAAAGCCCTTAACCTATATTTTGCTCAGGCACGTAGCCAGGATTTTTCTTTGGGGGGGGGGGGCTGTCGGCGAGCGAAGCTGCAAGCTGTGGCAGGGGTCTGGGGGCGCGGCCCCCAGCGGGGTCCAGGTAAGGGGCGGACCACATTGGCGGGGGCTAGGGGGGGCACAGCCCCCCGGAAAAATTTTGCGAAATAGGGTGTTTTAGGCTAAATTGAAAGTTTAATGAATTTTAAAAAATGTATGGTTTGGCATAATCATTGCCTACAATCCTGACCTGAGTAATTTACCCCTTTGAGACTTTATTTTGGGTTGAAAATTAAGTTTATCGAGAGGAAGTGAAAAATCTCTGGTTCAAATTTGGATTTGAAGCCATGTTTAATTTTTTCTGTTGAGGTCAATTTTTTGCGCAGAAAGCGTTCGATTTTAGGGGAAAAAAATTTATGTTTGCTTTTAATTTTTATGGTGCCGACGGCACCTGAAATCGACGAAATCTGCAGGGGTGTTCGTCACGGGGTGTTTCGAATGCTGCTGAAAACGTATAGTTGAATTATTCAGCCCATTGATGTAGATGTAATGTGGGGTTGATTAATCTTGGGCCCAAATCTCAATAAAGCTCAGTTTCATTCATACTCTTTTCTGTAAATGCGTGCAATGTATGTCAATTGTTTAACGGTTATTTTAGCATGATTTAAAGCCGCTATCCCTTTATTGCGTCAGCTGGTTAAACAGAATATTATGACGCAGTGAAACTATCGGACTACGATGTATGGGGACTTGCCATCCCATGGCAACATTAAAATACATTGACTCTGTTACATCGTTTCCTCAAATTATTTGTTATATTTATTAGTAGTTGAATAACAGTAGTAGTGTTGAAAGTATGAGCGAAATATAAATATTTCATTTCATTTAATTCCATTTTATAATAAACATAGTATAACACTCGGAGTTTTCTCAGAACGTTCAAAGAATACGGTACCAAAGGAATCATTCAACATCAAGGTGTCGAGAGTCAGCGACAGACATGAACTAAACATCAAACATATATTATGTTCTACATAATAAACCTTTCTCACTCTAGCTGCAGTCTTGTAGTGTTGAGTTAACTTAATCAATATTTTCCTAACTTTCATAAATCATGTTGCTGCCTCATTGTAGTTATTTTGGTCTTTACTTGTGTAAATGTAATTGTAATACATTGATGTAAAATTTATTTGAATTTTGAAATAAAAACATCGACCCGCAGTTGACACGTGTTCACAAGCTTTTAATCTACTATTTCATAGCATATAGATTTTATTCATAATTTGTTAGATCAGTTATATAATCGACAAGTATATTTATTCCCTCCATTTGTAATCTTGGTTATTTTCTAAACTTTTATCAGACTGTATCTTTTGTTACAAAGAAAAATGTATTATTAATTATACCTCAATTAAAAAAGAAAAAAATGTATTGAGAGACAAATGGCCGAAATAATTATTCCTTGCGATAAAATTCCACTGTATCAAGCTAAGCCGGAGTTGAATTAAAATTGAACAAAGGTTGATTTAGAAATTTATTAATGCACTTGTGATTCTTCACTACCCACTCCAGACTAATTATCAAACCTTGAAGGGAGTGTTTGGCGCTGTTAGGAATAGCTATCTTCTTCTTACTGCCCTCCCCATCCTCCTCACCGTCTCTCCTCGCTCTTTTACCCGTCATCAAGTTACATAGCTTCTTTCTGGGACCAGGTAGATAATAATCATAATAATGGTCCTCAGTAATTCAAATGATTCTTATCTTCAATTTTTAGCCTTAATTTCTTATTGTATCTAAACATTTTGATTTCTGGTGCCTATTTATCAATTTGGCCAATGCCCAATAAGGCCTCGTTTTTATATTATGTGAGAAACGTTTTGTCGTGTTTATAACCCCTCCTCCCAGCATTTACTAAACCCCCGGCCCCCATTCAGCAATTCCATCTAAACAATTTAAAATATGAATAATCTTTGATACTTAATTGAAATCAACTCTGTGGAGAAAAAGCATATTTAATCATTAATCAACTTTATCTCGGATTTATCAGCAGTATAATTAGTAAAAGTATTATTAGCAATATATGCATATGAATGAAAAATCGTAATTTTTCGCAAAATATGATAATCTGTATAATGAAGACGGTCATAGAACAGACAAGGCAGGTCAGTCGGGTGCCGGTCGGCGGTAGGTGAGCGACGGTCGGAGGTCGATCGGAGGTACAGTATAGTTACAGATTATTTTAAAACTCTTCTACATAAGTCTGCCGCAAACAATGGCTGCTGCTCTTGCATCTTTCAGATGCCTGGTAGTGTTGATTACTCTGCTGGCTGTGTCGTTGAGGGCCTCTATTCTGATCCTTCCGTTGGCCCCGAAATCTCTCTTGACGAGTTTCAGTAGTCGGGGGTGGTCGAGGACTGCCAGCTCTGCGATCTAACGACGCCGTCGGAAGACCCTCTCTGGGATGCCGTGCTTCGCCAAGGCTTGAACTGTGGAGTCGCTTGAGGCTGAACAAGGAGAGTTAGCGCAGGACCAGCACCGGTGTTGATCGCTGAAAGCAAAATTGTTAATGTGGAAGCACAAATGAAGAAACCATTCTTCATCAACAAAACAGGACAAAATATTGACCAGCAATCAGCATTCAGCAGATAATATAAACGATAATAATTACCTGTACACAAGAGCATAGATTTTGTGTCCTAACCGGCTCCTAACCGGCTCCTCAGACAAGACCTCCTATTACTGATAGTACCTTTCTCCCTGAAATTTTATCGACATTACACCTACGAATCCAAATCACGGTATTCATTATATATAACTTTTGTAATATCGTTAGTTCACCAACCATCTTGATTGATTTCAAATACTTCCACTGAGTAACTAATTTGAAAGATATGGTTTACGCCAAACGTTAGGCAAACTGGTGCAGAAATAATTATAGTAACAACCATGATTCCTATACCTGAAGTGGATTACATCTCTTGTATAGAGCATGTTCATTGTTCATCGCTTGCTTTAAAGAATATTGTTTATTCAACCCATTACTTTGTTTTTCCATCTTTAGCTCAGAGATCAATTTTGTGGTTGCTCATATCCGATCTTGAGGTAGTTGGGTTGTACCTGAGATATAAGTAAATGAACTAACATTGTTAAACCTAGGAACGTGAACAGACCGGATATCCGGTATAATATGGTTCCGGCCGGATATCCGGCTTTTATATCCGGTTCCGGTCCGGTTTCCAAAAATTTGGCCGGATATTAAACCAGAAATTTCTTTTTAAAATGTTCCTGAAATGCATATTTTTGTCTGAATTCCTGCGAAGGGACATCCAGTCAGTACTCTCAGTGACCAGTGAGTTCACTGTAGCTTCTTATCTGTCAGCGAATGTTATAGACCCGTTTAGGTGAGATTTAGGTGAGAAGTCGAAGTAGTTACCAAGACCGATGACAAAATAATGTTTTACTATGAGCATTGCAAGCAGAGGGTTTCTTCTTTATTGTGGCAAGCAAACCGTTACTCACTCCCCTTATACCAAGGATTGAAAACAAAGGCCATTATGCTATTAAAAAACTATGGACATTATCCTCGGTTATAAATATTATATATCGACACCACGAACTTGTGAGAGCTGAATTTTGGGCTTTACTTCTAAGGGGCCATCTTGATCTACTTCTAGGACGTCCGTTAAAATCGCAGATTTTCAGACCACCCCCCTCCCCCTGTCCAGGTGTGTCCGAATTTTCAAAACACCCCCCTCCCCCTTACGTCCGGATTTCCAGCTACTTTCAAGAGTACGAATAAAACTCGGCTATCATAAGCTGCTCTGGAAATCGAATTCCCGTTCAAAATACAGGGATCTAAAGTCTAAACTTACAAAGTAATTAGTGTCAAAGAGTTGAAATAAATGGGACTTTTTCGTTAATTCTGCCAAAATTTCCGGATGTCCGGATTTTCAGAAACCACCCCCTCCCCTTGTCCGGATTTGTCCGAAATTCCAAAACCACCCCCTTCCTCCCTATTTGCCGAACGTCCTAAGTAGATGGCCCCTAAAACAATTTTACATATTTGTGCTACGCAGGGATGTTCTGAATTCTTGAAATGTGCGTTTTGATTTTATATCAACCATTGGTTGAAATTTGAGATAGCCGATAGGGCATGAACACAATTTATAGTCGGACTGTAAGTTTTTTATTGTGTCCACATGGCTTTTAATATTATAATTGATAAAAACCCACAATATTATAATTGATAAAAACCCACAATCAAGGATTAGTTTAAATTTTCCGGCAATTTCCGGCAGCCTCAAATTTCCCGGTTCCGGCCAGGCAAAATCCGGCAAACCGGAAAATAGATTGATATCCCGTCGTTTCCGGTCCGGCAGCCAAAACCCTAGACCGGTCGGTTCCTAGTTGAACCGTTAACGTTAGGTCGTGTGTGATGATGTGCACCAATTACGCTTGAATCAACCTCAAAGGGTCCTAATATTTTACTAAAGTCGTAAATTAAGTAATATGGGTCACATACAGGGTGAGTTAAAAATAATGTGTGGATTTTAAATGGCTCTAATCTATCAGCTGCTTTTGGTCCCATGGAAAGATATTGTACAAGGTAAAATTACAAACAACGCGAACGAGGATGAGTAAATTTGGCAAATTGCTATTTTTAGTTCTTAGCTCCTGAATCTTAGTATAGAAAGATTAGCTGCCAGCCGTGCACAATTATGAGATGTTATTGAATTATTTGAATAACATATTCTATGCGGGCATTTGTAGTGCACTGACCTCTGTTGCATTAAGTAAATACACGTGCAAAGATTGTTGGAACGACATTATGATCGTTGTTGTTGTCACATTACGTTGTGTTCAGTGTGTTTTACATTCAAATCGACTGTATCTTTGGTTGGGATGGATATCTTTAATGCGATAAAATCATAAAAACTGACTATTAAAGAATACTATTAGCTTCCTCCCTGTGCGATCAAGGGTTTTTCTTTTTGTCAAATCAATACTCGTTATAGCGGCCCCTTTAAATGAGCAATCTGCCCTACTCTGTTCTGTGTTTATAACCAGAACCGTCCTTGTACTGGTTTAACAACACACAATACACAACCTTGTTCTGGCCGCATTTAAATTGTCCACTTAACTGCACTATAGTGCATTTATCGTTAGGCACCTGGAACCTCCTTTTTGATGAGCACTAAACGGTCATTATGAGCATTGTATAGGTTGCTCCAGAACTTTTTTTTCTCACTTGATATCTTAGCAACAAACCATATATCTTCAATCTCTAATGAATAAGCCGAATATGCTGTTCCATATATTTTCTAACCTTCTTGAAACTATAATTTATACACAACAAGATACAAGGCTAGGTCGGTCACTCCCGGTGTTGGGATGGCCTGAGGTGCTTATCTCCTTTTCAGTAACCCTAAGCCACTCTGTGCCGAGGCACTATACTAGCTGTAGGGGGGTTAGCCCTACGAGCCAGGGAGTGTGAATCACCAGCCGAAGCTGTACCAAATCACAGCTTGGTAACTGGCCGACTTGAATCCGACCGGATTTGAACCCGGGCCTTCTGTTTGGGAGGCAATCGTGTTACCACTACACCACCCGGCCGACAAAGTAAGCCCCGGCGGGGCTCGAATTCGCAATCCCCGGCTTAGAAGGCCGACGCCTTAGCCATTAGGCTAAGGCATATGCCTTCTAAGACTGAGGCTAAGACTATAATTTATAACGCCTCCTTTATTTCCGTCCTACCTAGAACAAAGGTCACGGTATATTTAAGTCTGGAGGGGGTTGTTCAAAACTTATAAGTGATACGAAATGTTTATTAAGAGTCGTTTGACTTGGAGAATAGAGTTTAAGTTTGTGTTGAATAACATTTACAATAGTCAACTGACCTTGATACAAAATTTACAAGTGTTTGTATAAAGGACACTACGCTTCAACAAGGAGTGATTAGAAGATGATAATGAGTAATTACATATTATAAAGACTAACGAATTGCTATCTGTGTTTAGGACTTCTTTAACTTTACTCTTTAGTTCTACATTCCAAAGCGAATTAGAACTTGCTTAGAAATTTTCAACTTTGTTGTATTCTCTATGATATTATAGGGTTCAGACCGCTCACCTCGATACAAGCCCACCTTATTGAGGGAGGGGGGCGGGGTGAGTTTTTAAAAAAATGCGTTAATCGTCTTCAGCTGTTTGTTATCTCGCACTAAGACCCCCGTTGTCAGTCTATTTTGAGGCATGACTCAGCTGTGATTCAATGATAACGTTAAAGCTAGTACCTCATCATGGGTGCAAACTGCAAATAAGTTCCAAAAACCAAACATTAACATCCCGAAACCGAAACTTTGAGATCGATGTTTCCACGGGGGGAAAGGGGGAAGAGACGACCCAAATTATACTTTTTTTGTAGAATTGTAGCTCATCACAACTGGTAGCTGACGAGACTGTAGTGCTATAATGCAGCTGTGGAGTATAATTTATACAGATCAGCACATAATCACTCATTACAGATCATTAACCGAAAAAATTGCAGGGTGCATCTGGTCGTGGGATTGCTTGCAACCAATCAAGATGCGACTTTAAATCACATGTCGAGGAATACCGAATGCGTGATTAGAGTTATTCTATACCACCCATATTTAAAACTTTATGAGCCCCATGCTAGTAGAC